TGCTGGTGCGGGGGGCGGGAGCCGGCGTGTCGGGGTAGGGAGGCGGGGTCCAAGCCCGGGGCCGCTGACAAGAGTGGCAGAAGCAGGTTTCCACGCGAGCTCGTTCCTCTGCGTTCCGGCAGCCCTGCGTGAGCGTTCCGAGACCTCGCCCCCCACTTCATGGCTTTTCAAAGATCTAGAGGTAATAGCAAAACTGAAATATGGAAACGAATACGTGTCTGTATATGCGTGACTGGGACATGGTGCGGGACGCCAGAAACTGCCACATTGTAACTGACGATACTTAAATAAAGGTAAAAAAATTTAAATAAAAAAAAAAAATGTACTATCAGAACGACTCTTCCTCGGACCCAGCCCTTTGCAGCGGGTTTTATCGGCAGACGCCGCGGGACACAGTGTGCGTGCTCAGTCCAGGCCGGCCCCGCCGCGCCTGTCCGTCCGGGGCCTCCGCACCTGCAGCCTCCAACGTGGTGCTCACAGAAGTGCGGACGCGCGCCGGGGCCTTACCCAGCCGCCAGATCGCAGAAGTCAAGTGCGGTCTGCTGCGTGCGGACCGAGCAAGACCTTGCCTCCCAGCACTCTTTTCTTCCAACTATTTGGACCAGTCCTCCAAGGCCCGCTTAAAATCCTGACTTCTGACCTGGTAAGTCCCACCAGTCGGTCTCCTGTTCGCATCTGCCCCTCCGGGCACTGAAAGTCTGCTCTCCTTACTTTAGGAAAGTCGTTGTATGCTGAATTCAGTGTCCGTTATGTGACCTGTTTTCTCACACGTCTCCGCCTTCTAATTCAGTAACTCTCAAAGTGTGATTCTCCAGGCCTCTGAAAGTCTCCAAGACCTTTTCAGGGCTCTCAAGGCTGAAGACACTCTCCATCGTAAACGACACGTTCTTTGTGTTTCATTCTGGGTTCACCCAGCACTGCTGACGTCACCCCAGCAGGAGTCCAGAGGGTGGCACGAAACGACCCCACTCGTCTGTCATCTCTGCCACACACTCCCAGTTTCTTTTTTAGTTTAATTTAGAAATATCCTTGATAAAATGGTAAAAAAAAATAATGTTCTAACTGCAACCCGAGCACACTCTTTGTAACGCTGTGAGTTGCGGAAGGCACTCGTGCCCTCTTGCTGTGCACCGAAGCGGCACTGTCCCCCCGAGGGAAGACACTTGCTTCAGTGGCTCAGAGGCATAGGGAACTAGCTGCTTTTCACGGAGGACCATTCTTCCTCGAAAGGACAACTGACACAAAAACCAATGTTACTCTAACTTGGGAAGTGAGACACACTTCCCCAAAATGAATAAAGTGAGCCGGACGCTTCAAGCAAAGCAACTGAGAGTGTTTGTTGCCAATGGTAAAAATTAGCTTTCAAGTGGAATTTGGAAAATTTTTGTCAACACTGTCAACGGAAATAATCAATAAAAAACTATAGATAAACAACAAGGTCCTACTACACAGCACAGGGAACTATATTCAATGCCTTTTAATGACATAATGAAAAAATATGAAAAGGAATATATATGTGTATAAATGAATCACTATGCCGGACACCAGAAATTAACATAACATTGTAAATAGACTATACTTCAATTTAAAAAAAAATCTATAATAGGTGTAGAAAGTTTTAGTGGGGGAGGGTATAGCTCAGGTAGCAGGGTGCATGCTTAGCATGTGTGAGGTCCTGGGTTCAATCCCCAGTACCTCCATTAAAAGTAAGTGAATAAACAAACCTAATTACTTCCCCTTCTAAAAATTTTTTTTTAATTTTTTTAAAGCAAATTTAAAAAGGAAAAGAGTTTTTACCAGCCAAACTGAGGATCATAGACCAGGAGATACAAATTCAAGTAGCACTTAAATTGTGTTCCTCCAGGCTACAAAATGGGAGAGGCCTATGTGTACTCATATGTATCTAAATCTGAATCATCTTTTCTTAAACGTTTACTGGAGATTCGCATTTCGTGGTTATATCATTTATTAAAACACCTTTCCATCTTTTGTTTCTAGTAAACTAAAAAAGAAAAAGATGTTGAAGAACAGTTTTCATGTTTGGAGTAGCTGAGTAAGGAGCTGTTTTGTGCTTATAAAAGGACAAGGCTCCTCTGTGGAGACATATCTGGCTGGAGGGCTGCAGCAGGAAATGCAAGATGAGCTGGAACATCTTGGTGTAAGGAAGTAAGGAAGTGCTCAGAGAAAAAAATCCATGTTGGTAGGAGCCTGTCAGAGGGCACTGGAGCCCACTGAAGCTCCCATCAGCCAAAGCTAGAATAGTGTGGGCAAGAAAATACTGGAGCCGTGGATTACAGCCCCTTGGACCAAGTGATACCATGGGCCCACCCTGAGATACAGAAATTACTGAATGAGGCATTACCTCGGGGAGAGGAAACGGCCTCCTGCGGGAGAGTCCTGAATCAATTCTGTAGGTATTCCAGCTGAAGGAAGGGGAGCATAACTCCCCCCTCCCTAAGTATAGACTGGGAAAGGCGACTTCCTTCTAAAGAATACAACAGAGAAAGGGAATTTAAGTTCTCTACAGTGGAGAAACCCGGCACAGGTCCTCTCAGCCAGGTGATGAAGGTTGACATGAGCAATGACGACGTGCTGCTGGCAGTGTGTCCCCTTGAAGCCCTGAGAGGAGAAGGGTATTTACATCTGTGATCTTCCTCCCCACCCCCAGTTCCAGTCTAATCATGAGGAAAATGCCAGGAGAGGGGCATTGTACAAGATACCCGGCCAGTCGTCCTCAGAACTGTCAAGGTCATTGACACCAAGATAAGCCTTATCTCCATAAATCTGGAAGAAAAAAAAAACACAAAGACACAAACAACAAAACAAGGTAAGTCTGAGGAACTATCCCAGCCAAGAGGAGACATGACTGCTGAATGTAATAGGGGTTCCTATAGAGAATCCTGGAACAGAAAAAGGACATTAGGTAAAAACTAAGGAAATTTGAATTGTATGGGTTATAGTTAATAACAATACATCAAAATACATTCATTAATTGTAACAAATGCACTATCTCAATATAAGACGCCAACAGGGAAAACTGGGGATGGGGAGAGAGGGGATATGGGAGCTCTCTACTGCTCAGTGTCTGTGTAAATCTAAAACTATTCTAAAAAATAAAGTCTACTCATTTTTTAAAACCTCACTACTTGTACACTTAAAAAAAAGAAAAAGTACAAAGTCTCTAATCAGCAAAGCTAGGGTCCCGTGAGATTTTTCCGTACAGGAAGGTGGAACCAATTGCAAAGTTTTTTTAATCTATGCCTCTCCTAGACAATTCTGGTTCAAAGCTATTTAAAAAAAATCATTCTCTTTTAAATTAAAAATTACCTATGAATCCTCTATATTTCTTTGCAGCCGTACTCAGCCAAGCAATTTAACAAGATCAAAGCTATGTCAAAAGAGAGCTCATTTTAAAGAAATACAGTGCATTTGGAAAGTGATTCCCCAGGATTGGGAAGACAGAGTGAATCTGAGTAATGGGTTACAGCAAATAACATGATATGTCAAAGAAAGAGAGATGACATTTTTCTCAACTGTTATATCATATTAAAAATATGTGCCACTAGAGTGAAACAAACCCTGATCCACCCAGGAACTGTAATGCCAGAGAGTATTTAATATCTACTATCTTAGCATCTTTCAATATGTAATACAGTATTGTTAACTGTAATCACCATGCCATGAAAAATGCCATTGGAATTTTGACAGGGATTGCATTGAATCTATAGATTGCTTTGGGTAGTATGAACATTTTAACAAAATTCATTCTTCCAATCCCTGAATGTAGAATTCCTTTCCATTTATTTGTGTCTTCTTTAACTTCTTTCATCAATGTCTTATAGTTGTCAGTGTACAGATCTTTCACCTCCTTGGTTAAATTTATTTCTAGATATTTTATTCTTTTTGATGCAATTGTAAATGGGATTGTTTTCTTAACTTCTCCTTCAAATAGTTCATTGTTAGTATAAAAAATGCAACAGATTTTTGTATATTGATTTTGTATCTGCAAATTTACTGAATTAGCTTATTAGTTCTAACAGTTTTTAAGTGGAGTCTTTAGGGTTTTCTGTACATAAAATCATAGTCTGAAAATAGTGACAGTTATACATCTCCCTTTCCAATTTGGATGGCTTTTCTTTTCTTGTTTTTTTTTCTTTTTTTTTGCCTAATTGTTCTGTCTAGAACTTCCAATACTGTTGAATAAAAGTGACGAGTGGGCATCCTTGTCTTATTCCTGATCTTAGGGGTTAAGTTTTCAGCTTTTCACCCCTGAGTATAATGTTAGCTGTGGGCTTGTCATCTATGACCTTTATTATGTTGAGGTACAGTCCCTTTATGCACTGAGAGTTGAGAGTTTTTATCATAAGTGAATGTTGAATTTTGTCAAATGCTTTTCATGCATCTATTGAGGATATCATATGATTATTCTCCTTCATTTTGTGAATGTGGTATATCACATTGCTTGAATTGTGGGTACTGAACCATCCTTGCATCCCTGGAATAAATATCACTTGATCATGGTGTATGATCTTTTTGATGCATTCCTGAAATCGGTATGCTAATGTTTTGTTGAGGACTTTGGCATCTAAATTCATCAGGGATATTGGCCTGTAATTTTTTTTATATTGTTCTTGTCTTATTTTGGTTATAAGGGTAATGCTGGCCTGGTAAAATGAATTTGGAATCATTCACTCTTATTCAATTTTTTGCAAGAGTTTGAAAACCATAGGTATCTTTGCATGTTTGGTGGAATTCACCAGTGAAGCTCTCTGGTCCTGGATCTGTTTGTTTGGAGTTTTTAAATTATTGATTCAATTTCATTACTGATCAACTTGTTCTATTTCTTCCAGATTCAGTCTTTGAACATTGTACATTGCTAGAAATTTATTCATTTCTTCTAAGTTACTCGATTTGTTGATGTAAAGCAGTTCCTAGTAGTCTTAATGTCCTTCGAGTTTCTTTGATGTCAGTTGTAACTTCTCTTTCTTTTCTGATTTTATTTGTTTGTCCTTCTCTCTTTTTTCTTTAGTGAATCTAGCTATAGGTTTGTCAACTTTGTCTTTTCTAAGAAACCAGCGTTTAGTTTCATCAATCTTTTTTATTGTCTTTTAGATCTTTATTTCACTTACTTCCACTATGATCTTTATGATTTTATTCCTTCTATTAATTTGGGGCCTCCTTTTTTTGCCTAGTTACTTTAGGTGTAAAGTTAGATTGTTTATTTAAAATTGAGGTAAGCTTGTTGCTGTGAACTTCTTTCTCATGCTTTTGCTGCATCCCATAAGTTCTGGTATGTTGTATTTCCATTTTCATTTGTCTCAAGGTATTTTTTAAATTTCCTCTGTAATTTCTTCATTGGCTCATTGGTTGTTCAGTAGCATATTGTTTAATCTCTATATATGTTTGTGATTTTTCTAGCTTTTTTCTTGCAATTTACTTCTCATTTACACCATGTGGTCAGAAAAGATGCTTGATATGACTTCATTCTTCTTAATTTTACTGAGACTTGCTTTGTGGCCTAATATATAATGTATCCTGGAGAATGTTTCATGTGCTTTTAAGAAGAATGTGTATTGTTGCTTTTGGGTGGAAGTTTGTACATATCTGTTAAGCTCATCCAGTCTCACGTTTCCTTATTACTTTCTGTTTGGATGATCTATTCATTGATGTAAGTTGGGTATTAAAGTCCCCTATTATAATTGTTGCTGTCTATTTTTCCATTTGGGTCTGTTAATATTTGCTTTATATATTTAGGTGCTTCTATATTGGGTACATAAATATGATACACGTAATCTCTTCTTGTCGGATTGACCCCTTTATCAGTATGTAAGCAAATGCTAGTAAGGTAGAGTGAGAGGGCAAAAATGGTGCTCACTGGCATCTCTGTCTCCAGAGAAAGTCCCAACAGGCCTTTGTCCCGCTGGTAGATGATTATGACAAGCAAATGAATCTCCTGCACATAGGGTCTAGGTACTTTTCAAATTGCTGCTTTTGCACTGGGTCCTGAGGTGAGTGAGAATGCACTTGATCCGTTAAGAGTCGAGTCTCAGTTCCCTACAGCCTGGAGGTAAGCCCCACTGATTTTCAACACCCAGCGTTCTGGGGGCTCGTCTCTCTGGTACTAGTCCCAAGGGCTGTGGTGCCTGATATGGCATGGGAACCCCTCGCTCCTTAGGTGGAAGCTTCATGTTTGTGAGATCTCTCCAAATTATGGGTCACCACGCTGGAGATGGAGTTTTTGGTGGGACCTCTTCTCTGCCTCTGCTGCCCATCTCAGTGTAGCCCTTTCATCCTTTGTTGTACAGGACCAGTTCAGCTAGTTTTCAGATCTTTTTCAGAGGGAATGGTTCCATATGCAGCTGGGGATTTGGTGTGTCTGTGGGAGGAGGTGAGTTAGGAATCTTCCTACACCGCCATGATGAACCACCTCCTCAATTCTATTTTTAAAAATTGAAAGCACAAATTGTGTAAAAATTTATGGGAATAAAAACTGAAAATTGAAATATTATGCCTAGTAGTCCAATGCTTTTTATAATTAAGAACATTATTTTTCACCTTTTGTGGTAGAATGATTAAGTCCAGCACACAGAGGATACTAGACTGGAAGAGTCCCAAGTTTATGTCCAGGTCACACATTTCACAGTTCCATCTATAGGCTTTACCTGTCTGTGTTGGAAAAGGATAAATTGTGAAGACGATGAATGATATTTGAAAAGAAAACCAACTCAAGCTATAGCACTTGGTTTTAGAATAGACATATTTTCAAACATTTTGAAATGTGAGAAGTATCCAATAAATTTTATGTAAGAGACTTACAAACAAAAGTCCAAAAATCCATTACTTGTGTGTTTAATATGTCTTACAAGGTTTCAAAAAAGCAAGCATACTTATACATTTAAAGTCTCATTTATTAGAGAATAACAGTACTTGAATTTGAAACCAGTCCAGTGAAGTTTGCTCAAAGATGCAGGTTTACGTTCCTGAGTATGAATTTGGTCTTGAACATAAGGTCAGAAAAGAGTGCAATTACAGTTACGTTTGATAGTGTTGGCCATATTCCCCATCTAATGGGCGGATACTTTCCAATATTATCTCCTGCTACCCACCCAACTTATCCTGTTACTAAACTAAAATTTTCTCTGTTTCTAGAAGAATCAGGTCCCTTAGTGATTCTTTGCATTTGTGTACATTGTCCCTCTCTCAGGACTCTCGTCTGTGGAAGTTGTATTCCTCCTCCAAGACCCTGTTCTCCCAACCATCCTAACCCTACCATCAAGCTGAGCTAGTATTGACAGTCGTACTTCTGCATGAACACCCTCCCTTTCATTCTGTAACATATCTACTCACATATAGATCACCCTGACTAGACGTCAGGCTCTGTGAAGGGTCTGAGAATTTATACTACTTGGAAGCATACAAGTCGCCGCTGTTTCATGGATGTGGGCAGAAGACAGGAAACTCTCGGATCCAAGACAAAGACTTTGTTACGTACGTCACAGCGGGAAGCATGGGCTTCACATTCACACTGGTTTCCCGTGTCCCCCAGCGAGTGCCACAGGGGTGACATGAAGCAGCCCAGGTGACTGTTGAGTCCATGGCGGATCTGTGTTATATCTGAGGAACCCTGAGCTCAGGAATCTCAAATCTTTAACAATCAGCTGCTTTGTAATAGCCTGTTTGCTATTCAGCATCCTTGAAAATGTGGTCTGGAGCAAAAGTAGTCAGTGCTGCTGTCTGCAAGATGAACAGAAATACGAGAGAGCCACGGGGAAAATCTGCCAACACTAGACTGAAAAGCTACCGAGCAATGACTATGTGCAAAACAGCAGGGAAGATATAAGAAGGCTGAGACATGACCAATGGGACACTCAATGACTGTTGATTGCATGAACGAATGATTTGAGTAAGTGGGAAATTACTGGGCCACATGGGTATGTGTATTTCCATGACAGACATGTTTGCCTCTAGTTCCATATTCCTGCTGCACAATCTAATGTCCTTGATTTTGGAAGTAAGCTTTGGAATCAATTATTAAATTGATTTTGTTTTCATATTTTTTTGGGGGGGAGGAGGTAATTAGGTTTATCTTTATTTATTTTTAAAGGAGGTACCGGGGACTGAACCCAGGTCCTTGTGCATGTTAAGCATGTGCTCTACCACTGAGCGATACCCTCCCTCTAAGCTGGTTTCTTGACTGGCAATGGGCCTCATGTGAATCTGGTTAGCATGGACAAGTTAAACTTAGGACCTTCAGAGTCTCAATAGCAGTTAAAGGAGACTCAGTACTCTGCCTCTGCCTTG